CTAATTTCTTTTTTTCTTTTCAGCTGCTTGAATGGTAACTCAAACAAAAATACCTCACCCCTGGCTCTGTCGTCCAATGTGAATACGCAACAGTATAACGCCACACCAGTTGCGACAGCTAGCATGCTTGGCATGAAGCCACTCACGTCTAGTCCCATAACAAAATATGGTACAATTTCTCCAATAGCGCCAGTCGGTGACATCAGCATACCACCAGAGCATGATATCCTTGGATCGGATAAGAGTAAAACAGTAGATCGGAAATTGCAGCTCCACGATGGTTGGAGGCCATTGCATTACAAGTGAGTACGCGTAATATTGTTTTTATAAAAATTAGTTAATAGATTTTTACATACATACATATGTAAACATATTTGACCGAAGAGATATTATGAAAAATTTCCTGTTGCACACATGAACCATAATGAATGAAATTACATTACTCGCAATAGCAAAACTATGTAGGTCAAAATTTTAGATACATATGTACATATCTCTGTGTTATTGTAACATGTACATATGCATAAAAGAATGTACTAAAATCCCCAAAGATATGCGATTTTTTGTGTTTTTGTACTTGATATATTTGTTTTTTTTTTTTTGCAAACTTTCTTTACTATTCTTGCCAATTACGCTTGGACAGTTTGAACTCTGTTAGCAAATAAAGTTGGCCAAGGACATCGAATAATATGTACGTACATTTCGCATACGTGCTTGAAAAGTGTATCGATTCCAGTAGGGAGTTGGATATACTTCAAGGAGCTCTCATTAGAACTCTTGTTTCTCTAAGCAAAAATCGCGGCCATAGGCTACACTCTGGCTTATCGAATCTTCTCTGCTTGATTGCTGTCAAACATCGCCGATAACAGCGATAGAATATAAGAAAGTCCTTAGCGATTTAGCTTCAAAGTATACTATCAACATTGTTTGGGTGCCAGGCCAAAGTAACTGTGCTGCGGAGGAGCTTACGATGAAGGAAATCACCGCATCCGACGTAAAATCTGCTCATGTGGCGGCCATACCGCTATCTACCTGCAAGATGTAGCTCAAGACAAACTTCGTCGAGTAGGAAGCTAAAAGATGGTCGAAACTACTCACTTGTTGGACGACTCGACAAATCTGGCCCAGCCTCGTCAAGAAAAGATCCGGCGCACTCATTCAGTTAGAACGCCCTTTACTAAGGCTGGTGACCGGTATTGTTACGGGCCATTGCTTAATGGGAAGGCATGCTAGCAGAATGAATTTTCCGGCCAATTACATCTGCCGAAGTCGTGGCGACGTGGACGAAGTCGAGTTTGCACCACAAACTCCGTCACTTCCCTGCCCTTTTGTGGACGAGAAAAACGCTCATTTCATCACCACCTGTTTGTTTGTCTGGCCAACCTAAGTGATGTAGGAATTCATGAATTCTCGCGCTTTCTGAACCTAACTAACTGGTTCTACTTATAGGTGAGCAGACGGGTTCGAATTCGATCTCTCAATTGGTATTAAAACGGACCCACTGGGTACTGGGTACGATGGGTGAAGGCAGCCTCTTCATGCTAAATAATCTATCTTATTACAGATTTACTTCCAACTAGAGAACTTGCCTGTGCCAACATCTGTCCATACTTTGGCAAATGACGCTGTCTCAGCTTAGACCGCGTATTAGTTATCTTCAGGGCATAGCGCTCTACGCTTTTTGGTTCCTCGATCATGTCCAACTCTCAGAGCGTCTGCTGAAAAAGGCAGAGTTTTCCCGAAATGTTTTCTACCTACGCGAATTCTCCTGACAAAGCTAGACATCAAACATCAGTCGAGTGGAGTCATGAACCAAAAAGACAAGATCACGCGGGCAGGAGACTAGCCCGTTAGAATCGCATTTAGGAAAAAAGTTGAACGATATTGACATTAGCCGTTTGTTTACATTTCTTCGTTGTTTACAATTTGGTGGTGGCTTTTTACTGCAATTTTCTTCATTTTCGCTTGTGACAACGTGTGTACACAAAAGATAAAGAATAATTTAACACAACGACATGATTTATAGAAGAATTTGCATAATAAAAATGATTTTTCATGCGTTCAACAATTTCGCGGTTTTCTCCGTTCTCTTCGTTGTTTACTTCTTACAACAAAGATGGCGTCGAGATTTCGGCAGCTAGAAAATAACTTTTTTCGTTCTTTCCTTCCCGCGTGATCTTGTGTCTTTCGTTCATGGAGTGGAGTGCGTTCGGAAAGATACATAGGTCATAGTCGCATTCGCCAATACAAAATTAGTTTTAGATTAGTGTGGCCGCAACACATAATAACCGTCATATTTTTTGAGGTTAGGGCAAATCGCATACTCTCGCAGAAATAGTATGCTGCAATCCGAATCGTATTTTCGAACTTTCGAAATTCGTAACAATGGCATGCCTAAAAACGAACGAGTAAATTTGTACGAAAACAATTCTGTGTCGGAAGTGAGATAAAAGATGTAAATCGATGTGAGTTTGCAGGAAACTGGTTTAAACAGATAAATTCTCCTTTCGCATATACATATATACGTATATTGTTATCCCCTGCTTTATATGAACGAACAAAAAGAATATTTGTTGCCCCTTATCGAGAAACTTGGGTCTGGTTTAGTTATTTGTACAAAGATTTTCGGTTGTGTCTAAATGCATAATCCGAATCTAAAAACTTTAACACACACGTGTAACCAAAGGATTAAACTTTAATTTAGCATAAATGCTTAAAATTTTCGAGTACTAGTTTATAAATAAATTCGGTTTGTACTATGCATTTTTATGTAAATTTCGATGTGGGTTCCGCATAAAAATACTGTGGATGGCGTAGCCGGAGTTATATGCAAAATAAATGTTTTGTATACCTTTGACATGCGGAAGCCCTTCATCTCCGGTAGCACAGAAAGGTGAATTCTACATAGTAAGGGTAATAATCCCTCAGCGTGGCTGAAGGCAGAAGCAAGCGCAACAGGTGGTGGACCTAACAAAGTGCATGTTTACAATGGCTTGGAAGAAGCTGTTATTGCATTAGCTGGGTTGAGAACCAGCTCCCAATGCATAGGAGAACTAGAAGCTGACGCTGATGCGTCGATGGCTACTATGCCCGATACCTCCGCATATCTTTGTGAATTTATTTCCATAGCACGCTCTTACTCCGCTGCTGTAATTGCAAATGCAATAGAATCCATCTAAAAATATAGGGGTATTCTCTGAGTCTTGCAAAGCCCTTGCATGGTGCACAGATTGCACGGATTGCACGGTAAAAACCGGTTTTTGTATGGGCCAGCTTTGCAAACCGTGCAATCCGTGCACCGTGCAAGGGCTTTGCAAGACTCAGAGAATACCCCTTATGTAAAATGATATAATTTTACTAAAAATAAGCACTTGAAGTGGGTTTTTCTTCATATAGCTGCCTTCGAAAAACAACTGTTAGCTGGCAATGCTGCACATGTTTCCGCAAGGGTTGCAGCATATGGATTTTTCGTTTTTCGTAACGTAGCTACGAGTTACGAATTACGAAAATTCGGATTCTTCCTACTTATCATAAGTACACCTTCAGTTTTGTGAAATCTGACAACACATTTTGCCACATCTCTGCAGCAATAGTAAACAGTCTTATCATCCATATGAATCTTTTTACAAATCTTCTAGTAAAGCATAAAAAGAATCATGTACATAAATGAATTGGTAACACTATGAGCTTACATCATTTATGCTAATGCTGATGACAACTACAAGAATTATGACACAAGAATTAAGCAAGAGTACGCCGCTATTCATATTTACATAAGAATATGTATAGATATTAGGGATGTTCATTTTTTTGCTTTTTACGATCTCGGAATTTTCGGGATGTCGTTATCACCACCCCGGGATCCCGGAATTTAGATATTAATTACTTTTCAAAAACTTATATCGGGAAAAAAAGTTTATATTTCTCCTACCATAAAACAAATAATATATAAATGCCTTTGAAACCTACTTTTTCATTTAAAGTGGCGTTTTTAATTTTTCTCTCTGACGTCGGGATTTATTTTAAAGTACTTTTCAATTTCAAAGATATGATTAATTCCAAAAATTATTTAAAAATTCAATGCAATGTAGAATAAAAATATGGGTACCAAATGAAAAAAGAAATTCCTTTAGAATTTAAAAAAATTACAATTTTTTGGATTCACAAGGACAATTAGGTAGTTTTTTAAGCTGATATAGTTAGAACCACGAAATTCGAGGATTTTATCGAGTTTATATAAGTCCTTAACATATGCTTTTTTCAAAAACCAATATTGCGAAATTTCAACGATAAAATTGTAAAAGGTCATTTTCAATATTTACCAGTCCTTATGCACCAAAAAATTGAAACTTGCGGAAACATCTGTAGCATTTCACCGAATTTTTTAAATCATTTTTGAATTACTGACGTCAGAGTGAAAAACTAAAAACGCCATTTTACTATATTTTTTCGCGAATATATTGATTTTTGTGTATCGTACATTTATAAAAAAATATTAATTAATAAATAAAAAAAAGAAATGTAGCCAATACTGGTCAAGAAGGGGAGTTTCTATTATTGCCATCAGTGGAAATTACAAATCCTGAAATTCCCGGGATTAGATATTTGCCAAGAATACCTGGATTTTCGGGAGCCAGAAAAGATCGGGATCCCGGCATTCCGGGATTAACGTTCCCAATAGACATGTATGTACATTAGACTGCATCACCAAAAAAAGTTGCGGGTTTTCCGTCGGGATTACAAAATTTATTATATCTGAAGACGTCCACCAAAATATTTCGGAAAAATATTAAGATTTACGTGAGCTGGACCGATTTGAAAACACCTCCAAAAATGGAGTTTTTTATGAATAAAAATAGTTTCTTAAAGATGTTTCTTTGAAAAAAATTTTCCGAAATATTTTGGTGGGCGTCTTAGAATATAATAATAATAAATTTTATAATTGCAATGGAAAAGCAGCACCGATTTTTTATTTTTTTTTTGTATGGGGTGTGATGCAGTCTTATGTACATACATATGCCCAAATCATTTTCTTTAGAACAAATAAAACGCCCATATACATAAATGGGATAAATGTGGTAGCGCCAACCCGACAAGTAAACTCAACAGCCGTCACTCGAAATGCAACAACAAAGCGCTGCGGATTACTTCACAGCAAGTAGATCTGGGCGTAAAGATAAAAAAGAGAGAAATGTTGCCAACATGCGCAACAACACAGCCATACACAAAAAAAAAAGAGTTACAACATTAAATGTAAAACAAAGCGCAGACAACAAACCAGCGCACAGTAGGAAAATGGTCT